TTCGAAGTGCAGCATATCAGGTACCAATAAGTCAATTAATCTATTTATTTATTTATTTGTCAATTAATCTTCTGACTTATCACGCCCTCAACAAGTAAAGTCCCTTGCTGGTCGCTCCTAAATGGGTATCTCATTACACTAAATGGCTGAGCGGATTGCATGCCGCAAAAGCGGAGACTATCATTTTTGTGTTCGAGAGATATAGCCCCGCAGCAAGGGAGCATCCTAAGGCTGTATATCGTTTTTCTTTGCCTGCAAGGGTTAGACTTTAAAACGACCAAGTAATCGTTAAAAGCTTGATAGTTTCCACACAGAGACTGAGTTCGTCCTGCAGTTCTATTGGCAAAAAAACTTGAACAACTCGACCCTCCCCCTTCATCAATGCTCTTGCGCAGTGTCTGTCCCGCAGCACATCGGTCAGGTTTCAGTTTGACAATATTTCAACTTGGACGGAGCTCTGATTGAGAACGTCTGATGCATCTGCCTTCGTGGCCTGAAAGTATAAATTGTCATCGAAACTGACTGACTGATTGGACGAAGCTCTACCGCGAGAGATCAGGAACAGCATTACTTTACGTTGCTCAATGTTATGGAGTTGTGTCTCATATTTGTTCTTTTTTGGATTGGTTTTACCGGGATATTGTGCCACATTTGCACCGGTCTTTGTGGTGATTCACTTGGTTTCTTGTCTTACCGAAATTTCTGGAAAAAGAGCTCATGAGGAACTGGTTTTAAACAACACAGTGTGGTAGCTTAGCACCTCATTCTACCCTTCAGTAACGACGCCTGACAAAGGTGATGCGCTTTTTTCGATGAAGGGCGTTCGGTCTGTTCTTGTACCGCAACTTTTGTTCAGAGAAGTTATCAGCCAATAGGAATCGAGTCCAGCCCACACTTTCGACGCATCTTTTGGTGCGACCAATAAGGAATGCCTGGCAAGCACCAGCACCAGTGAGATACACCGCAGCGAATCAATCACGGTCGATAAATGTTCGACCCATTCTCGACCATCACTCGCTGAGTCTTGTCAGCTACGATGTCACTCGTGACAAAACCGTTGTTTATAAATCCGCACTGCGTAACTTACTGGTGACGATGCAGAACCATCAAAGTCGCGTTAACCTTATGCACAGCAGTTTTTCCCGTCTTTCATCTTATTTATAGAAAGCAACAACAATGGGAAACAGCTTCAAGTTTACCAAATGACGGTGAAGTTACTCTATTAAATTTTCGGATGCAAATGATTTCTGTTTTAAAGTCAACTTCTTCGCTGTTATGAATTTATGTTCCCAGCCTGTCCCTTAATGGCCATTGCTGCTTCTAGAATTTCAGGCATTTGCAGCTTTCTGCCAATTAAACGACCAGAACCAGTTGCCCCTGCAACTCTTACAGTAAATTCTTATTTGATATAAATTATTTAACGCTTTTCTGCCTATTAATTTTGGTTATTTCATTCCTTTCATTGTTTTGCATTTACTGACGAAGGCATGGAATATTGACTGGTTTTAACAAAGATTCAGAAACAAACTGCTTCGTTGATGCTGTCTCTTTTCTGCCTAAAAGTCATCGGATCTTCTATTGTATGACTACTTTGTGACCTTTCTTGCTTTTTTTCTTCGGCATGTAAGCGATGCCCATATTTTAAGCGCCTTTACCGTTAAAAAACGACCAACGACGACTTATAGGGTGAACTACGGTATGGTAGTTTATGTTTGAGCTGTTGTGATGGCCGCGAGAGCCTATTTCGAACAGCAAAATGACCAACTGAAGAGGCAATGGAATTTATCCTGGGAAAAACAGCATTAAATTATTTTAATGCTGTTCTCTCTAGGACTAAGACACTTTAATTTCAATTTCGAACCAACAGGTATGGGGGCAAGACTCGCATTCATCCGTATGAAACGCATGAACCTTTAGATAATGTATAGTAGCGTATGATAAGAGAACGAGCACTGTTGTGATGAACACCAGATCCTGATAATATTTTACGGGTGATATCAGCAAGTAGAGAAATAAAAACATAACTTCCTTCGTGTACGTTAGGATGATCAGGTAAAACGTAGAAATTCAGTGGATTACTATACAGTTGGTTCCTATTCGAATGGAGCATATAGAAAACTTCGGTAAAATCGCTGAGGTAGTGCCAATTTTTAGAAATTTCAGACATAGATTCGAAAGCGATCTCCTGCTAGCCTTAGACCAGACAAATTCAGTCGCTGCGTTGCAAACAGACATACCAAAGTTAGTATCCCTCATTGTTTACTGTATCTTCAACGCGCTTTATTACATTACCCGTATCATTGGAGAATTTGCAAGACCAGAAAGACGACTGGTCAACAAATACCATAGTTTGCTCTAATTCGATCTCTGTTCTTGCCTCGTGTTAAGTATCATCTGGTTGGCGGGTATACATTCCACGTTCATATGTTTGGTTAGAGAATAAATATATTATTTTCATTTCATCTTCGTCTTTCATGATTCAACAAACAAAATGCAATGTTAACATTTTAACATGCTGAGCATTTCGTTACGATGTGACCCGCAACATTATCTGTGTTCATCAGCAAGATCATCCTCGTCGTCATTATCAGATGTCACGGGTCACCCACAACGAAATGCGTTGCTTATTAAAATGTTAGCATTGTTTATTGTCTCGAACCATTGATCAAAGGGAGTGAGGTCACTTAGCTTATAGGCTCTGGATCGAAGGATCGAAGTGGACGGAAATATTATTTTGTAGTACACTCTTCTCAAGCGCATTCTCGGTAGGAACGGGTTTGGAATAAACCGAGGTTCGAATCCAAATCTTGAGCAATCCTTGCGGTCAGAAACCAATGTGGTTGCGGGCTTTAGCTAATTATAAACATTTACATTAATCTCCTTACCGCTTCCATGTTTGGTACATGTAGAAGATGATGATGAACGGTGCCAAAATGATGTTGACAAAAATATTCGAGAAGTACAACGAAGTCTTCTCGATGTCCTGCGCTATTCGTTGATCGCTGCAATAAAACACTTGATCAACTGACCCCATAAAATCGAAACATGTTCCCACGGATTATCGATCACCGGACACGTTTGGCATATATGGTAGAAGACGAATTTTTTCAGGTACAGCAAGTGCATTCGCGTCGTGATCAACCGTCTCCAGTGAAGGTACAATATGTTGGTCGTGAACTTCAGGCTGGCGAGCATCTGAAACAGATTTTGACAGTTTTAACCCATAAGGCAATTTATCTGGCTTTTGCCATGAATGGTTCAGTGTTGAACGACTGTTTTCTGTTTATTTAGCCGTTTACTGTAGTGGAACGTCTCTGATTTGTGCTTTTCAAAACGCTTTGGCTATAACACATCTGTTTGTTATTTATATTTATGTAATTCGACATATCTTTATCCTCATGTCGAATCATCCATGGTCAAATTAAGTTAGTCTTACAATTATGTGAAATGAGGCAATATGAGACGTGACCTCAGGAAGCACACATTATCAGCCGAATGAAAACTGATGTTGGTATCAGGAAGCTCGGTAACTCTGGAAATTAGGCCATCAGTATTTGTTTCAGATGTAAGATTGGAACGTAGATGAAGCTATGTTTGGTGACTATAGTTTTTCGTACACTTTGATTGACTGGAAGAGACTCATAACAAGAATGGAAAATTCATCGTTGCAGTGTCCTATCGATTTTTACCAATACAGTAGTAGTAGTGCTCTGTTAAACAGTAACGATTAACGACAAAGAGCCTGTCTCTAAAATTACTAGATGTTCATTCATTTAGCACCAGTGACCCAGGAGCAAACTACTGGATATGTGGACGAAACTGCTTGTGCAGCCAGGATCTCAATTAAAGAACCATTCAACGTCAACATAGCCATAGGCTACAGTTGGTTGACGCAACAGTCAACACCTCTGCTCTCTATCACGCCCTACAGGTGATCTAACAGCTGGACTTCCAGGCGTGGAAACGATGTGCTCACTGTGTTACCTCCACTCATATTTCGTTATCCTTGCAAATTCAGATGTTATGAGAATGCATCGATCGATACTAACACTGCCTGCTTGTCAACGACCGTAATCCGTAGTGCGTTATAAACTAACAACACATCGGCACAGAGAGCAGAATCTGAGGTTCCCTCATAATCTGTTGAAAGACGTGTGAAGTTTACCAGCGGTGCCTACTAGATGTTCAGGCCCAAGTAAGCACAAACTGTCTTTTCAGATTTTCAAGCACTCAGTGACACTCAGATGAAGTGTGGTACCGCAGAGGGATGGAAGACTTCTTCCTACATGTGTGAAAAACTAGAAAATAAATTTTAAAAACAGATTCCTGTGGTGAAATAATACCGTAGCTTTCATAGGGCAAGGGCGATCTAAAAAATACAGTAATGAATTGAGGGATTTGCGCTGTGGCGCCTTGGATCGCCTAAGTGAACGGCGAACTGCCGGGACTTTTGAGGAATTTTCTTGAAGCTACTCCTCCAAAACTTGAAAGGAATGAGTGAAAATGAACGGATGGATTAGTTTGCGTAAAAGTCCTGTGTAACACACCGGAAATAATCTCCAAGTCACCTGCTTGAATGAAGTTTTGTTTAGCGAACTGAACCTGCGGAAAATACAGTCAAACGTTTCATCATTCAATTTGCACATAAGAAAGAGAATATATCTGACACGATAGACAGAGACCGTTCGATTTCAGCAGCTGTGCGCTTTTTCGGGAAGGACAATGCAGCTGACAAATGACAGTAAGCTACTACCTGGAATTCCATGCAAATGCAAAAATGATAATTACCCCCCCCCCTTT